TTGGGAGTTATACCTGATGTAAATGATGAGTTGATGGGTGCTGACGAGTTGATGGATGCAGCACACCAACATGGCACAAGTATACATATGTAACAAACCTTCACGTTATGCACATGAACTTAAAGTATAATAATAACAAAAAAAAGAAGAAGAAGAAGAAGAAAAAAAAAAAAACACTTTAATTTGTCCAGGCACAGTGGCTCACGCCTGTAATCCCAACACTTTGGGAGGTCAAGGTGGATCGGTGGATCACGAGGTCGGGAATTCGAGACCAGCCTGGTCAATATGGTGAAATCTGACTCTACTGAAAATACAAAAATTAGCTGGGTATGGCAGCAAGTGCCTGTATTCCCAGCTGCTTGGGAGGCTGAGGCAGGAAAATCGTTTGAACCTGGGAGGCAGAGGCTGCAGTGAGCCAGAACTGTGCCACTGCGCTCCAACCTAGGCGACAGAGCAATACTCCATCTCAAAAAAAAAACAAAAAATTAACACTTAAAATTGATTGTTCTCTCCAGTTTAAGAGGTTATTGTCTAGGATGGCTAGAACAAAAAAAAAAAAGAAAAGAAAAGAAAAGAAACAAAGCGGATAATAACAAATAGTGACAAAGATGTGAAAAAATTAGAACCTTTGTACATGAATGTGGTATTGTAAAATGGTGCACAGTTTGGATAACAGTCTAACAATTCCTGAAAAGCTCAAACATAGTTACTATACGACGCAACAATTTTACTCCTGGGCATATAGCTAAAAAAAATTAAAACAAATCCACACAAAAATCCTGTAAAAAAATGTTTATACTAGGATTTTTCATAAAAGTCAAAAAGTGAAAACAAACTCAACTGTCCATCGACTGATGAATGAATCAAGAAAATTTGGTATCTCCATAAGATAGAATACTATTCAGCCATAAGAACAATAAAGACTGCTACAACATGAATCAATCTTAAAAATATTACAGTAAATGAAAGAAACCAGTCACAAAAGATCATACACTCTAAAAATATTCCCTTTCACCTTAAAATTCTGTGACTGTATAATAACAGTATTCATATTATTAAGGACCAAAAATGTCTCTTACTGAGATCATGCTTTCTTTTAATAAATATAAGAAAAGTAGAATTTGACAGAAATTTCAGTATAGAGAAAAGGAGAGAGAAACCAACATCAAAGTAGAGGTCAAAAATTACACAGGCTATGTCTGCTTTTCAGTGACAGTATGTAGAAATTTCAATGGTATCAGGATTCATACACTTACATCCTAATAATATGAACAAGGTGTTGACCTGTTTAGCACTGTCAAAAATTTGAGCCTTGTTATTATAACATATATTCAGATTACTTACTTTATGACTCAAAATTTTTCCAGGTTCACATTTTGTTTGAAATGAACATGCCAAAGTTCAAAAGCTTATGAATTCATAACTGAAAACACGGCAATATGAGAAATCAAATATATATATATTGGAGAAAGGATCATGACTCTAATCATCATATAATTACTTTGTATAAACAAATGAGAAATCTAAAAATGCATTACGCTTGCTAAATACTATATTCACGCAGTTATTTTTATATATAATACATTCATTCATAAATCAAGTAGCTTAAATTAGATCAGTCTACTTATCATTCTTAGTTTAGCCTAATGTTAATATCCAAAACCAACTTTCTTCCCAAGTTAATTCTTCCTATGTTTGTATTTTAGTGATTATATTATATTGTATATGATCTTTTATATATAACATATATGTGAATATGTGACTAAGATTAAAATATATGGATGGCAATAAATGGCATCACTTAGTTCATTTACTTTGGTCAGGAAAATCTTTCAATGAGAAGACTGATTTGCTTATACACTGAAACATTTAAAAACACCAACAAATCTAAAAATGTCCATATAAAATATTAACCATAGGAAAAAAAATTTTTAAATATACCTTCTTCGAGGATGGGTCGTGGGATAACAAATGGAATCTCCTGCAGAGGTTCCATGTACTTGTGCCCAGCACTAATAATCTTTATTTGAGGCAAACAGAGGACAAGTGTTCCCGGCATACTGGTTTGTCCATGGTACCAACTTCTCACTGTTCCAGGAATGTCACCAGATATAATTGTACTTGGGGAAGGCAGGCTATCATTTGGAATAAACACACAACAAGATTGTACTTCAAGCTAGAAAAGAAAAGCAGAATTAAAATATTTGGATCAGACTAAATATACCTTCAAACACCTAATATCTTCACCAGAATAAACAACCAAAAAAGTAAACGTTCCATATTTATGACTTATTTGATGACTTATCTTTATGACTTATTTTCACTAATGAATATAAAAAATACTTGAAAAGGTACTGTTTACTTTTGTTATACACTCGATACAAAATGCCCAGTGACAAGAGATGATCTGCCCTTCCACATAGTCTTTTCCAAGACACAAGACTGAGTTAGAAAATGTGCTGGGCAAAGAAGATCAGAAATCGCTCCTTCTTTTGCAGTTGATTAGAAAATTTTGTTAACACCAGATAAGGCCTAGAACTACCTAGCAATTTATTGCTGTTACTTTTTTTAAAAAGGGCTATTTTTATGTGAATTTAGTTCTTCTGTTTTTACTTCACAGACTAGAATATAAGAAAAAAATGTTTAAAACATTCAATTTATAATACTAGACAACCATTAAAAAAATGTTTATATCACATACTTTCACTTTTTATATACAATGATTCAAGTATACATACATATATCAGATTTATTATACATAAACAAATACACGGTAATAGGAGAAATCAGAAGACTTAAAAATCAGAGTATTATTTCTTGTTTTTTTCATTCTTCAAATTACCTAAATTATAATTTCATGTATTATCTTAAAGCTCTCCTATCTCCAGTAGAGTTACATTAAGTTGCCAGGACCTTAAAGATTAAGATAAAGAGACAAAGTAAGCCCAACCCCAAAACTGAATTCATCATGACTTCTTAATTCAGAAGCAATGTAGATTAAAGTCTATTAGTCTTAGCGGTGCTTATAAAGTAGTACTGTGTGTCTCATTATCCAATTGCTGCAACAGCCTACAATGCTTAAGTTATTGAGAAAATACAAACTATGACTGGTTGATTTCCTACAAAATATTTCACACAAAAAGATGTTATCTGGAGGTGTAATACAAAATATTTTTTTTAATTCATAAATTCTTGGATATTCAAAGAAACTATATTAGCAAAAAGACTACATTTTTAAAAGATAACAGCAATATCTCTTCTCTTGGGCCTAATATACTACTCTGGTGAGAGCATGATGATATGTAGCAGGTTTGGAATTCCTTGATACGATAAATAATTTGCCAACCTATAAATAAACAAACCTGTTCGTCTTTGCTTCACATTTTGGGGCGTGGACAAACTGATGGATTCAGTGATGAAAAATACAGATAAAATTTTGCAAAAATAAGTGCATTGGTTCATGAAGCATGAGCTCATTTTAGTTCTAAAATCTTATCCTGTAGATTAGATAAAGTACATATGTGTTAATATATGTACTTAAGATCAGAATGTAGTTTATTTATTCTGAAATAGAAGTCTACATTGTCTCAGGTAACTTACAATTATGCTTTAAAATATTTAACATAATTCACTAGTAATTTTCAGTTGCACAATTTAAAATGGCACATTAAAAGCATAGCCTTTATTAATTCAGGTTAAAAGGTCAAAATATGAAGTGTCAGTATTTAACACTTCATGTAGGTATTGATATTACAGTGAAAAATGCTTTCAATAATGTGAGGTAATTAGTTTAGTATGCTACCATACACATCCACATGCATACAAATCCTTAGGAACAAATTGAAATCATGCCAAAATTTCCAAAATCATAAAACATAAAATTTCACTAATTTAAAAATCAATTATTTCATCAAGTGTAAACAATGTGAGCAATGCAAACAGAATCAACACTACAGTAGCATCAAATATACAACAACTCTAAAATAAACTTTCTAAAATATATTTTGTGAGAATTCCTTTAATGATAAGAATATAATTAAAATTACTCAAAATTATTATGTTATATCTATTACATATACTAAAGCTATCATATAAATCTTTTTACACTTTTAAAATAACTGTTAAACTGTATGTATAAAATTGTGGTTTTAATGTAAAATGTTGAGTGATTTATATTACTGAATATAAATCTGCACAGTAAATTCTGAATTAATGTAAGGATCTGACAATCCAAGGGAAAGAAAATGAAGTAATCTGCCAGTAAGAAGTCCTCAAGCTGGGGGTCAGATCATGTTCATGGAAACCATCTGGTTGGGACCCTCTGAGCCACACCAAACACAAATGATCTTTTAAAAAAATATCCTATTCATGAATGCATCACAGCTGCACTGAGTGTTACTTCATTTTTCCATGGCAACATCCTTTCTGTTTCAAAGATCTTGTTTCAGTTTTGGTAGCAACGTGTTCTTTTGCCAATACTGAACACATTCATGTGCTAAAGTGAAGGGATTATTACAAATTCTTGAAGTGGAACCACCTCTATTTTGATTCCTACTGGGTCAAAGGCTACATATCTAAGTATCATATACTGAAGATAAACCAATAAAGTAAAAATTATTTGTTATTCTTATTTTAATAAATGAAATGATTGCAATGCATTATTTTCCCTGATGTTTCTAGTTTATGTGCTATTTGAAAGATACATGCCTTTGTAAGTTCTTAACTCTATATGTGAGGTTTCAGAAACTTAGATTTTTCTCTTTTATGTGCTCTATAACTGTGATCCCAATTCAGTTAAAAAGTAGAGACTAAGATAGGTTTGATTTACCCATTAATCTGAAAATCTTAATTAGCTACTGCCCATCATATAAAGCACTTTATAGATAAATGCTTTGAAATGTTGTGCCACAATTTCTTCCCTATTCAATAACATTACTATTTCCTATTCCCAAATAATATACTTATTTTTATTTACAACTTGAAAATGTAATGATAATTATATTTTTCATAATTTCTACAGTACCAAATATTCTCTATATAAATGTATGTTACTCTTCAGGAAAGAGTTTCAAATAAAAAACAAAAATAAAGGAACATTGTATGGTGCATTTCATTTACTTTTTCTCTCCTTTATTCATGTACTCTCTAATATCTATCATGAACTGACCTGGAAGTCAGGAAAACAGAGACAAAAGACATAGTCCCAGCTCTAAAAAAGCTTAAACAACATCACTTTCAAATATTAATATCCTTATGGAATTCTCACTAGAACATAAGCTTAATGAAGTCAAACATTTGCTTATTTTGTACACTATATAGTTTCTGTACATTGTACAGTGGTGTATGTACTATGTACTCAATAAATAATTGTTAAACAAGTAGAAACAATTAAACAATTATTTTCATCAGATGTGGTAATGAAAATAACTGCTTCATGCATGTTGTTCACCATTTCATTCCAGAGGCAACCTCTAAGGTAATTAATAAAACTGATCTGTTAACAAGATGATTCAACACAGCTGTAGGATCTTCGATAAGCTATTTAATCTCTCCGTGACTTCAGTTTCCTCATCTGTAAATGGGGAACTCATAGCATTGATACATACATTCAATACAGTGTTACCTAAACATTTGCTAAAGAAATAAAGTCAACAAACAACACCAAGACTCTCCTATATGTGAGATCTCATATATTATTAGCCTCCATAGATTTACAAAAGCTGTTCACAGTGTATTTATTTTCAAATACTGTTGATTATGGTTTAACTGTCTATGTATACAGAGACCACTAAAATAAGTAGTATTCTATTTGCACTATAGCAAATACATAAACTATAACCCAAATCACAGTTTTCCTATTTGATAAATTTTCAGTGCATCATGAAAATATTTTGGATATCATCACATGTAGTAGAAATTTAAATACAACCAATTTGGGGCCATAGATTAAAACCCTACAGTTGGTTGTCTTGGTTGTCATCCTTTCCAGAGTAAGTGTTATAAATCTTCACACTTTTTCCATAAAAATCTCTTCAAGGGAAGACATTAAAAATTCCTAGATTTGAATTCCAGACTTCCTCCTAACAAACTGCCATGCAATGCCTGTCACTTGTTCAATGCCTATAAATAAGAATGTGGGCCTGTGTGCAAAATTTGTAAGGATTAAATATAAAATCTTACTTTTATAATTAGCATGATTGATAGTTGATCTCTCTGGCCTAAAATGTCTACTCCTATTTAATTCTGAAAATAAAGGCCAAGGAGTTTACTGGATATCAGGAAATCAAGCAGTATGATTTTTTTCATCACTAGTCATGCTCTAGATGTAACTTCCTAGAAGAGAGAATTCAACTGGCCCAGCTTAACTACCTTATGCTGCTTGAGACACCTTGCCTGACATTCTCATCAAAATAACACAGAATGTGGGAAGTAGATCCCTAAAGGAATAACAGAGCATTATTACCAAAAGAAAGAGACCAGAATGCTTGGTACTGAAATTAAAAATGCCATTAAACTCAGAAGACTTCAGTCCATTCAGAAGACCTCAGAGAGTATTAAAAAAAAAAAAAAGAAAGAAAAAGAAAAGAAAATGCTAGTAAATGTCAAAGGACAGCAAGATGAACTTTGATGTAAATGACAAAAAAAAAAAAAAAAAAAAAGCTAAGTCTGGCAATAAGCAGAGAAATATTTTCCTAGAAAGGAGTAAATTCTAGCCAGCACATTTCTATTTTATCAACTATATACTATTGCCAATTATGTGCTTCTGGAATAAAAACATAGCTTTAATAGAATCTTTGTTAATGAGCAGGTACAGAAAACTTGGAAAGAACAGGTGAAGTTATGCTAATCTATTGTTAAAAGGCTCCCAAAGTTCATATATTTTTATTTTTTTAATTTTTATTTTTGAGACAGAGTCTCACTCTGTCACCCAGGCTGGACTGCAGTGGCACAATCTCAGCTCCCTGTAACCTCCACCTCCCGGGTTCACGCTATTCTCCTGCCTCAGCCTCCAGAGTAGCTGGGACTACGGGTAGGCACCACTATGCCCAGCTAATTTTTGTTTTTTAGTAGAGACAGGCTTTCACCATGTTAGCCATGCTGGTCTTGAACTCCTAACTTCAAGTCGTCTGCCTGCATAGGTCTTTCAAAGTGCAGGGATTACAGGTGTGAGCCACC